AATGTCAGCCCTGCTTCGGCCGGTTTTTCACCGCTGGGAACCGGCAGAGGTATTTCTGTCGCCGAAAAGTCTGTCCTCGCTGGCGGCGTTGCGACACGCGGATGGATATTGCAAATAAGAAAGGAAACTGATTGGAACACACGTATTTCTAACGATCGCTATTGAGCAACTCGCTGATCGGATAATGGGGAAAGACGAAATCTGTTGAAGGATCAGTAACCCTTTCACCGTGGAGACAACTCTGCAAAAATTCCCGAGTAACGGAATATTCTTAACCCTTTTCACTCGAAAGATTTTCACTGACATTCAGCGGTTTCCAAATAAGATACAAACGATATCTCAATGCAAAAGCGTCGAGTAACCGTGGGTCAGCAGTGGGTTAACCCTTTGCACTCCGAAGTTTTTCACTGGAAATATTTCATTTTCTGATGAGATGAAGACGATATTTTGTAAAACCAACTCGTCTCGAAATTCACGCGAATTGACGGACAAGGCTATTTTACGTCAACAGTTCTCAGATCGATGCATTATACGGAGTATAATATTAAATATCAAACTTTCTATCTTCACCGTAGGAAATCAAGTGGTGACTGAGAGTGACCTCCCGAGTGCAAAGGGTCAACACGTTCGCCGTCCGAGTATCCGAAACAGAGGCGACGATCGTTCACAGGGTCCGACTCGCGATTGTCTCGCGAGAATCGGCCGTCGCGGCGACGCGTTAACAATCCCGATCGGCGGCTGTTACGCAACCGCAAGCTCGCCGCGGCCGCACCTGGCGCGGCGGCGATACAATGCGTAATAAACCAGGTAATGGGGATCCGGTCTAAAACGCGGATTAACGGGGGACACGAAAAACGCATTACGCGGGCCGCGTAAAGCCTGGCCGCCGATAAAAGTCGGGAGGTGGCGGCTCGGCCGTGCGCCGCGTAAAACAAGATCATTAATTGCCCGGCCGGCACCGGGGGCACCGTAGAGAATCCGAATAGGCGTCCGATTCGCCACACAGAACCACCTGTTCGGAACGCGCGGTTTCGTAACAATCTTTGCGTCCACCGTGGGACCATGCAAATGGATTTCACGAGTCTCCTTCACGCCGTTGCCATTGTTACTCGCCGCTCTCCGGCCCCGGCCGCCGCGTGTCCGAGCGCCGCGCCGGACGCGATCGGTGTTTCCAGATCGGCTCGGGTCCGTTAATCTTTCCGTCGACGGGCGAACGCGTCGATACGTATCGTGACTCGCGAAATCGAGCACCGCTCGCATCCAACGCCCGCGCGAGGCGTGCCGCGGCGATCACGATCGATCGGTTTCACCGGCGAAGGTCTCGCGAGGCGGCGCGAAGTAATTATCAATGCTGGCGGCTGACATCTCGTCGCGATTAGATTGCCCGCGCGCCGACCGGCTTCCCGGAGGCCTGCATTAGTCCGCCGCGGCCTTTGTTCTTCGAGTTTCCGCGCGAAACGCGGTTAATGGGTGAACGGAGCAACGTCGACGAGAGGCTCTGGGCTCTTTGGGCACGGTTTTCTTTGAGGATTTTGCGCGTCGACGCTTTTTGGCTGTGTTCGGCGTTGCATAACGGAATGAGTCGCTTCGAAGCTAATGAGGTTAAGTTTAGGAAAAATATTGGGAACATTAGAAGCTGTGAAAGAGCTTCGTGACCTACGAATATTTCATTAAAATATACTGGAAGAGCACATGGCGCTTCAATTGTTCAACAAATAACTTGAGAAATTGTGTCACCCCGATACACGAGTCGAAGTCGTCGTTCGAGTGTCGTATATCTCGAATTTTATCGTAGACACGGAGCGCTCCGCGAATTCTCCGTAGAATCCCTCGGAATTCCAGATCGAACGCGTCGATAAGAATTCGAACGATCCGAACGGCCGTTGCGAGCGGATATTTCGGATTCTGTTCCCCTTTCTCCCGCGATATCGCCTATAAACGCGAGCAGCCGTGCCCCGCGCGCGCGTCCGGACGCATAAAACGCGTGGTACCTCTTCATTAACCGTAGACGATTTATTCAGCACGTCGCTGCTGCGAAGTGAGCGTGCATAAATCGATTTTAGATGGTATTACCCGACCGACTCGCCTGCGAAGCCCGCTCGCTCGCGTCAAGGTACCCCGACCTTGATGAACCTTCATCCTGAACCCTAACGGAAGAGATCCGAAGGCCCAATAAGCGCGACGAATTTCCATCGTGGAAGACGGACGGTTCCCCCGGCAGGCTCGTAAACGGAGAATTATTTATCATATGGGTTAAATGTTACGTCCGATAAATCTCGGACGTCGGGCACACTTTCCGAGAGAATGCGCCGGACTTTTACGTCGATGATCGTCTGAAACGCCGTATCATTACTCTTCGTACCGGCGGACACCGAGAGAGCTCCGTTACGGGGCCTTAAGGCCGCGCGTATACTACCGGCGCAACGTGAACCGGGCTCCGGCGAAATGTAATCTGATTACGCATTCAGACCGACGATTAAAATGCGACTTTTCCGTCGCGAGTGTACACCTAGGAACGATAAACCATATTTTTCTGGTATTTTTCAATGCTGGTAGGACGGAAAGACGTTCGTGCTTGTTAAATGTTATAAGATTGTTCGATGTTAACCCTCCGCGAACGAAGATTCTTTGAAACATACGAAATTTCAATTGTGAAACTAAGCGTTCAACAAATTCGACGTCTCATACGGCGAAAGTGTGTAATTTCCACTCAAAATTTCCACTATTCTAATCAACACTACAACCACCCAGCAATCCAACAACTTTTCTCATAGAAATTACACGAGTGCGTTCATGAAAATTCAGAAACTAAGCGTTCAACGACTTTCATTCCATTTCTCTGGTTCTCCCGCGCTGTATCCTCCGTCGAGTGTGCATGCAGCTTAAATTTCAGTCCACTTTAAGTCTCGAACGGCACGAGGAAGCTTCGGGAGCCTGTAAGACACGCCGGCTCGTTTCCACGAGCGCGCACGGCCGTGATAAATACTCCGAAAAGCGTTTCTGCCGCGTGGGCGGGTTAGCGCGATCCTGGTTGCGCGGCGTCCACCGCCGGCCGCGGATACTTTCCGCCGTCTGGTGTACAGTTAGGCGTGACGCAACCGCGCGGCCACCACGAGAACGGTATGAGATCCCAATTATCGAATGCTTCCGGTTTCTAAGGGTCCCGGAGTTTACGTGGAACAACGCCTAGCTCTCCGGTTCCCGGAGCGATGAATACCAGGCGTCCGTTCCGCGCGCGCGCTCGGATAAGCTGTCTCTCGCGCTGTGCTCATTGTTCACCGGCAATCGCCCTCTAATCGGGAGACGCGAATTCTTATAGCCACTAACGCAGCAACTGTCGAATCGAATTCACTGGTTCGTATCGTTTGACATTTTTCTACTTAGGCTCTTATATTTTAGTTTGTATAGTGAATCTATGAATTTGACTGTTTGCAAGTGTTAACCCTTTGCACTCGAGAGGCGCCTTTCAGTCGCTACCTGATTCGACGCAGCAAACTTATAAAATTTTCAATTCGATATTAGAAATAAAACAGTTCTGTCCCCTAATTTGTATATAAGATACGCAATCATGTTAATCGCGAGAAATATCGTTAATATTTAGTGAGAAAGTATCGAATATTTGTAATGAAAAATATTGTCGAGTGCAAAGGGTTAACAGTCAGCTGCATCTTTCCAATGATTCTAACTGAAGTTATCGAGGTTGACTCTCTATTGTATTCGTAATTTTGTATAGTCACTTCGAGCAACGCAGCTTGAAAAGGATCTTCGAATTCGGCGTCAGAGTAATAAATCTCGAGAGTGTTATTCGGAAAAATCGAATTTCCATGTAGCGATTCGAATCTCCGCGATGCCGGTGTCAGTGGCAACGTTAAAAGTTTCTGTCTGCCGTGCCCCCGGGTCTAAAGCTTTTAGCCGATAGAGCGCTTCCAACGTTGGCGCACGAATAACGATGATTAGCTTTCAATGCGATTAACGAGCGTTTAGCTCCGACGTCGCCGGGGAGAAGAGCCGAGACAATGTCGCGTGTATAAACCGCCGATGAAATTTCTTCGCCGCTCGAACACGGACGATGAATAATTTCTAAAGACACCGAGGGCCCCGTGGCTCGATGACGTTAACATCAAAGGCCGCACGCCCGGAGATGCGGCCCTGTCCACTAAAGTCATTCCACGTGTTATTGCGGAAGTGGTCTTTGAAGATCGTAAGAAACCGTCCGCGGTGATCCACGACGATCGGATAAGCCCGCGGATCGCGGCTGTAAAAGAAGTTTATAAGGCTTCAGATTATACGACTGTCACGGGCTATCTATCTTGGCCGATACATAGTGATTTCCGTCTTCCAAAGTGAAGAATGAAAAGATAGCCGCGGCGAGCTACCATTTGTCGTAAACAAATTTTTCTCTCGGCTCTATGCACTCCCAGGCTTAATATCGTTGCCACCGTGTCTTTCGCGTCCGACGTCCCCCGTTACGGCGTTAACGTTGCAAGCGCGCGCAAGATGGCGGCCGTCTCACGCGCGCGCCATTAGTGCGTCGGACCATGTGCGCGGGTTCGCTGGAGCGAGGCGAACGGAAAATCGGAAATAAAAGAAGCTCGTCATGATTGTCACTCGATTAGTACTTATCGATTAACACCTCGGAAGTGGACGCTGAAATGTTCCTTATCGGATACTCGAGGGAACATTGTAGATATCATCTTTTCATCGTGGATCGTTTGTGTCCTACGAACTTGCTCCACGATTTCGTCTCATTCGGCGAAAGTATATCGTTTCTAATCACATTTCCGCCATTTTGGTGAACACTGGAACCACCCAGCTTAGAAATTGCATGATTTCGTGAAAATGCAACGCGTGGCAATTTACCCAACGATTTCCGCAGAAGTCAATTATTCCCGACGCGAAACGAGCAGTTTCGATCCGGCAGTTCCAGGGTTCACCGTAACATTCCAGGTTCTCCAAGCGAATCGCGCGCATCGTCAGCGAGAGAAGAAAGAGAAACTTACCTGATTGATGTCGCTGCCCAAATCCCTGGCGCTCTTCGCGCTCCTCAGTTGATCGCCGCGGTACTCCCTGTACCTCATCGTCACCTCGTCGTCGGTGAGGGCCCCGCCGCCGCCGCCGCCGGCGGGCCTGCCGCTCTTCTTGTTCTTCTCCTCCTTCGCCTTCTTCTCCTTCTTGCTGAACAGCTGCTTCACTTTGCTCATCGTTCCGCTCTTCTTCGCCGCCTTCTTCTCGTACTTCTTGTCAGCGCCGGACGGCGGTTTCGCGGTGACCGGCGGCCCGCCGGGCTTCGCGATCTCGCTCGAGTACTTGTCGTACTTCCGCTGCTCGGACGCGGTCAGGTTCATGTTCCGATCGGTGTGCCGGCGTTCATGCTTGATGAACTGCCTCGTGACGAATCCCTCGTCCTCGGACTCGATCTGCTCCCGCCGGTCGACCTCCTGCGAGTCACGCCTGTAATCGTTCTCGATCCCGGAATCGGCCAGACGGTCCTTCCGGTCGCAGTCGCTGAGCCGTGTCTCGCGCTGCCTGCGCTCGGTGTGCGAGCGGGCCTCCTGCCTCGCGTGCCTGGACTTGCCGCCCTCGTGGAAGACTCTGTTGGGCCTGGTCGGGCTCTCGTCGAAAGGCTCCAGCCGGCCGACCGAGGCCTTCACCCGGGGACTGTCCCTGGCGTCCGAGTCGTCGAAGTAGTCCAACCGATTGCGCGACCTGCGCAGCGGCTTCTTCGGGTCCTCGTCGAGCTTCCGGTGCTCCTTGCGCAGGGTCCTCGAGCTCTCGTCGTATCTGGTCTCGCAGCGGATCGAGTCCCTGGCGGTCGTGTCGGAATCGTAGCGGCTGGAATTGTAGCCGCCGCGGTCGGTGCGTATCCTCGGCGGGGAGCTGTCGTAATCGTCGTGGAGCGGGTGCTTGCTGCTCGTGTACCGCTGGGTCGTGCGCGTCTCTTTGTAGTACTTCGACTCCAGCTGGCTGTTCGTCATCTGCGAGATGTCCGTGTCGTAGTCGTCGTTCGGCCCCTCCCTGAGGCTGTCCAAGTGCCTCTTGGCGAACGGCGAGCGCTCTTTGCGGCCGTTGATCATCGGGCTCTCCAAAAGCGGCCGGCGCATGTCCCTGGCGTTCACGTAGTCCGCGTGGCTGCTGGTCAGGTTCTCGTGGGACCTGGTCGTGTACTCGCTCCTGAGCGCCCTCATCCTCGCGTTCTCGCCGATCTCGTCGAGCCGCTGGGTGGACTTGCTCATGCCGCGTATCGACTCGAAGTTCTTCTTCTTCGGCAGGTAGGGATCTCTAGGCCTGGCGTCGCGGTCTAAGAAGTCCTCGCTCTTCGAGAACTTCCTCTCGGTCGTGGTGAACTTCTTCGCGAGGATCGGCGACGGGAGCGCGGTGTTCTCCTTGGACTCGCGGAAATGCTCGTCCTGGTGGAAGCTGGAGACCTTGTAGGGGCTGCTCGACCCCCTGATACCCTGGAACCGATCGTCGGGGCTGGCCCTGTTGCGGTTGCCCAGGAACGGCTTGTAATCGTCCGCGTAGCCCTCGTGCGTCCTCGTCTCGACGATGTACTTGTCCCCGTACTTGTCCGTCCTGGTCTCGACGGTGTAGCCGTCCCTCGGCTTCGGCTCGACGTCCTGCGGGATCTTGTTCGTGATCTTCTTCTCGTAGCCGTAGACCTTGCCGTTGTCCTCGTGTATCTCCTTCTCGAATATGTACTTCTCGCCGTTGCTGTTGGTCCTCGTCTCCGTGATGTACGTGTCCATGTACCGTTTCGGGGACGCGACTCGGTTCGGCGTGACGGGCGACGGCACGATCGGCTTGTCGATGATCTCGTGCTCGGACTTCTTCACCGGCACGTTCGCGGTGCCGCTCTTCGCGAACATCTCGTCCGCGAGGAGCCTCGACTTGATCCGCGACTCGAGCAGGTCGCGTCTCGCGCTCAGCTCGGACGTCTTGTTCGAGATGATGCCGGCGGGCTGGGTGGACGGCTGCCTCGGATGATACTCGGTGCTGTCCCGTTGCCGGGCGTCGGTGCCGTCGGCCCTGCCCCTGCCGGAAGTGTCGACGAACACCGTGGACGTGTACTTCTCGGGCTTGTCGTACAACCGGCGGTCGATCTGATCGAACTCGTGGTGCCGTTTCGCCGTTTCCGCGCCCCTGCCGGCGTAATCCTGCGCGGCGTAGAAGTGCGCGGCCGCGTTCTTCCTGTCCTCCTCGAACCTCGACTTGAACGTGTTGATCTCGTTGTTGCGCCTGAGCTCGCTGTTGTACGAGTAGTCCGTCCTGCGGTACTCCTTC